GGGGGCGAGCCCCATGTTGTGTTAGTTCAGATGCATCCGGGGACTTTCGGCTTGTCAGAGATTATGCGGAGAGCAGGCCCTTGCCTTCTGCTTACATTAAGGCTTCGGATTTTATATTACCCGAAAAGGATGTTCTATAGCCGGGTCGGATTAAGCTGATTCTGTTCGTCGGTATTATGACCACAATTTTGTGGCCACAAATAGGGGCGTGGCCTTGGGAGTTCCCTGGTTCCGACTTGCTCGAAAAGCGGGTGTAGAAAGCGATTCCCTGTTTCTGGCACCTTGCTGTGGTGAGGGGTGCGCTTTTAAGACCTAGGAGTACACCGCAGAGGGGTGTGAGAATACACGGCGCCGAGCGGACTTTGTCTTTGGTCTACAGTAGGCTCGTGTAAAGCTGCCCGTGGCCCTGTCGGTTGTTTGTAGCTACAACTGTGTAGCTACAAACAGGGACGTCCACGATGGAGGCTGCCTGCCGTCAGAGTTACGGCGCTCTTGTCTACTTCGTCGGGAAGTGACGAAAAACGAACAAGCTCAGAGTATTCGAACCCGTGATCTCCGATTTACTCGGCACTGACGTAACACATTCGCAGTTAAAACTCAACGCTAGAGGATTTGCATAAACGGCAGTTTCGAGTTTCACTAAAAATTCGTGGCTTGAAAATTTCTTGTTGATGGAGAATTCAACCACCGACCTCCGGCTCGTGTGTTTTTAAATTTGCCGCCAATCGGCGGCCGCGCCGAGGCAGTCGAGGCCGAACGGCCTGACCAGCCGAACCTCCCCGAAGACAGTTCGGGTCACTCCGGGGCACCAAAGCGACTCTAGGGAGATATCTCGGTATATTATTTTTGTTGTTCGTCGTGAGTGAATCACCGCGGTCCGTTGGTCTAGGGGTATGATTCTCGCTTAGGGTGCGAGAGGTCCCGGGTTCAAATCCCGGACGGACCCTATCTTTTATTTTCTCCCCGAGCCTGGGGCCAGCGTATTATCATACCCATTGGATGTTCTTTCAAGTAGGGTGTGTATTAATGTCAGTGGTTATCAGTAAATGTGAATGTGACATTGAAATGATCCAGAAATAAGCATAGAAATAACTGTTTGTTTTTTTTCTTTTTGTTGAGCAAAATATTTTGTTACAAATCAGGGTTAAAACACAAGGAAAAGATCCCACAATGCTAAAAACACCTGCTAGAACCACGCTAGCAAGTTAAGGTACTATACATATAAAATGTTAACTACATGTATTATGCACTGCTTTCAGTCATATCACAAAACAAAATTAATTTAAAGCTCAGTGTAGAAAATAAAGTGTTGCTTACAGCAATGTGTACAATAATTACAATTTAAATAGAATATAAATAAGGCACAGAAACCTACTAATCATAAAAACATGTCACAAAAGAAACAGGCAACAACCAAATAACAAATGGACATCATTGGAACCTAGCCCTACCTAGCACATGACCAAAAGGGGACATGAGTGCTTATAGAACTTACTGGCATAGTATGGCAGAGACATAACTATTAATCTAATTTCTAAGTGCAAAATAACTTTTTATGATCATCTGTCCATGTTCAAAAACAATGAACTCATCAGAGACAAAAAAATATTGAAAAATAAAGTCACAGCAATATTGTGAAAGAGTGTACTTTACCTACTGGCAAGATTTATGTAGGTAGGTACACACAAGATGATACCATACCTTATTGCAGCACTAAATTATTGCACCCAGAAAAAAATAAAATCAGATCAACATTACTTAAAATCTCAAACAGGAGCAAACTTTAAAACTCAGATCAACAAATTAGCAGGTTTCTGACAAACATTCAATTTTCAAAACAAATATACTTTACAATAACAACTTGATATTTTTGGAGTAATACAGTAGAAGGAGTTTCATTCGCTGATCACAGTAACCCCTTAATAAGGCTCATCTCAATCACAGCTATTCAGATCCAAAACAGGATGAAGATTTCAAGTGCTATTTATATATTGAAAGTAAGAGAGTAAGACAAAAATAGCTGAGTACTCAGTATAATACAATTAAATTTGGGTTCCAAAATAATCACAGTGCAGTCAGTGCCCATGGTGCACTAAGTACCAGTTTCAGAACAACATGGAGTATTATAACTATGTAATTCATAATGTAAATGTAATGTATCAAGATATTACAAATATGTAGCAAAAAAGCTGCCTTGGTTCTTTTCCTAATATTTCAAAAATGGACGGTTTACGGTACAGGCAGTCTGTTAATACATGTTCTTTCTTGTCCACAACTAGACACACGATGGTTTTAAATGTGATTCTTTGATATCTCACTTTTTTTAATAGCACTGCCATTTTCCTGTTAAGTTATTTTATTAATAAACATACCTCTTTTAAAAGACCTTTGAGTATCAAGATATGGGTAAGACCATAAAATTAATCATGATGTAGAAAGAAAAAGAATGATGGTACTGTAATTTAAAACCACTCGAACCAGTCTAACTGAATGGTGTCCAGTCCTTAAAACGGTCACCTGTGGATAAGAAATCATGTTAGATTGATATAAAATTTTGAGATAGCACAACCTAGTGAATCTGATACATACCGAGTGTTTTCACCTTTTTGTTAAGGCCCTTGTAGTTTTTCAGGTACAGTAAAGTATTCTTCTCTCTCTCTTCATGATGTTCCATTAATCGTTGCTCAAACATTCCTGTTAGACAGTAAAGGAAAAATATATCATAAAAACTCACAAGCTTGTCAAATCTTAAATTTTAAATATTGGCAGTTATTTAGTAACCTTTGGTTTCATCAGGCTTTTCAAGTTTAGAGTCAATAAATGCAGCAAACATAGCTGTTTCTGTGAACCACTCCAAAAACATTTGTATGCTACGAGAGCGCACAGCTTTAATAAAGGATTCTCGCTGTAAATAATAATTTTTATATATTTAGTAAGACAATAGCAAAGGTATCCAGTTCCATTTTTTACTGCTTTGTGGATGAGTGAAAACACTTACTTCAAAAACTTTCTTTCCATCTTGCTGAACAACAATGTGAGTTTGGTAGTGACCACAAACTTCAACAAATGTACGCAAGAAGGCTTCAGATACCAACACATTTCTTGAAGGATCATCCGTTGGTGTGCTGCTTTGAGCAAGCTGCAATGCAACTTTCAGAGACCTACTTATACCCACAGGAAGAATCGTTGTCTCATCTTGCTGACTTTGAAGTATGAGAGAATTATCTACATCCACCACAATACCCTGAAATAAAAATATCACATTAGTACACAGAAATCTAGTAGTAAGAGACGAAGGTGAGTTAAAATATAGAAGGGCATATTACATGGTCAATGGAAACTGGTGGCAGAATAGGATGCCTGCCCTTCAGAACACCAATAATGTAAGGAGTAGGTGCTTGACAAATATCCAACATATTTGTTGGAAGAACAGGAATAAATGTGTGCTGCCATACAAATGGAAACAAAATGGACTGAAGAGCATCAATACATGCTGATAGCTTGCTGCAAAATATTATTAGGATTAACATTAGAAAATAACCCAAGAGAAAAATAGAATGACAAGTATTTGTTATACTATGCATTATGCTTACCTAATAGATTTACTCAGGAGAAGAACTTTTCTTTCCAAGAGTAAAGAACTGAAAACTTGAAGAAAAATTGGAATCTGAAGGCAGTTGAAAAGCCGGGAGAGATCTCGCTCCTCCAATCTGGTATCATATGGTCGGCGTAGAACAACTGGGCCTCTGCAGCCAGAGCCAGTACTGTTGGTGCCATTGCTGCTGCTCGAGCTGCTAGAGCCTGTGCAGCCAACATTAATGTTTTCACCAGAACCACTCACTCGAAGTCCTTGGCCTGGACTAGGGAGGCAGCATTCATACAGTTGTTGAATAAAATCTGCTTGCAGAATTTCTGGTTCACCATGTCGTGACTCAAGTTCTGCCAACACCTGATATAAAACATAGCATTTCAGCATTTAAAAATCATCACAAGAAAATAGAAACAAAACGAATCAAGAGATATAGATTAAAACATACCTTGAAATAGAACCCTGAGGCTCGATAGGGTGTGAGGATACAGTATGCCAGGGGTAGGCAGATTGGAGCACCTTCAGGCTGAACGCGCCTGCAGTAACCATATTTGCGCTCTCCAGTGTCACTTGTAATGGTCAAGCAGTAGGACTGTTCTTCTCCGGGTAAAGTTTCACCTCCTCTACTTGAACAAATAGGAGGTGGCCACTCACCAGCATCAGGGAAGCACAGATTTTCAATATGGGAAGGAACCGAAGCCTTAAAAAGAAACATTAAAAGTACAACATTTAGGCATTGTACTAGGTAATACTAATAGATAAATATTAAATAGCAAGTATTACAAGTACTCTCAAAATTAGTATAAAAAGAACAATATTTACCTCAGGGGGAAATTTTGTTTTGATGTATGGTACTTTACATTTGGGCCGATCTGGATCGAGGTTTAATCCTACTAGCAGAAGACACTCAAAGAGATGGCTAGCAGAATTGCTGGAAGAATGATTGGAAGAAGAAGTTGATGTCTGAGGTAAGAGACGCAATGACCTCTGACCCATAACATGGCTGGACACTCTGCGAACATAAGTACGCCTTTCAGCTGTCATTCGCTGAAGAGACTCTTTGGATGGAGATGCAGCCTCTGGCACATCTGGAGGAGGACAACTTGGACCTTAAACAGAAAGATTATTACAAAATGTTGAGATATGTATTTTAAATGACAGCTCAAAACCAAAACAGAAATGATCAATTTAACTCACGAATGATTTCTCTGGGATGACTTTGTGTGTTTGGTGAGGGTACTCCAGGGAAAGTTGAAGAGGAAACCCCTTCATCAGGTGTTGAAGCTAGAGAGTCTGAATCACTATTACTGTCAAGAGGTGTGGCAGGTAAACACTGAAGAGGTGAACCAAACGCCTGATTCATTAAAAATTTAATCTGCAACAGAAAGAGAGAAAAAAAACAGTTATATCCCTAGAGATACATTTCACATTTACAAAATGATAATACATAGATATTCAAATAAAACCTTGGTACTGCTGAGATTTTCAACCACATCTTTTAAGGCTTTGTCTTTGTCTTTTTCTGCAGGACTTCTTTTCAGAGCAATTTTTGAGGATGAAGGTGTAGACACACGAGGCATTTCCAGGGACAAACACTCTCGGCTTGAATGCCTCAACAACTCTGAATTTGTTGCCTCTACAGGTGGTGGTGAAAGTCGCAATGGAAGGGAAGACATTTGTAGCTCTCTGGAAGAGAGGGGAGAATCCTCTTGAATTGGTGTGCACTGCAACAAAGAGATAACAATAAGTAGTAAGTAGAAATTAAGTTTATGTTTTTTTCGTCTTTTAAATAAATTTCTATGCAGTGATTTATACAATCTTGTCATTGAAATATGGAAGTAAAGTGTGAAATTTCTTTACCAAGTAGTGCAACCCATCCATATTTGAATCTGTAGGACCTGCTGGACGTGCTCTAAACACTTGTTCTGGAGATGTTGATAGGATTCTTTTAGGATGAAATCTGGCTTGCTTTGGAATTTCTTTCCCAAATGAGGATGTTCTAAAATTTGCTTCACAGTCTTTTGACTTGCAGATCTGATTCCCATCACCTACAAATTGAAATGGCTCAGCATATATGTGCTCCACACTATGAGACTTATGTAAAGCTCCAGATATATCCTTTCGCACACTTGATGAATTATCTTGTAGACTTGACTTGCGCTTCATGCTGGGGTCGTGGGCAAATTCCGGCTGCTTAACTTTGCCATCATGCATGTTATCTCTTGACAGCTGAGAACATAGAGTTGGGCTCACTGCACAGTTCAGGGAGCTAAGACACCCACTTCTGGCTGCATGAGTGGGAGTACACATTTTGTTTTGTCCAGAGCTCCCCAGAGAATGAGCAGGTAGTGCATTATTTCCTGGAGGGCTCAAGCTTCCCTCCCTCCCAGAGGATTCAACAGGAGATACTGGGGACTGAGACCCCTTAGGAGATGTTTTATGATTCATTAGAGCATTTTCTAATTTTCGAAGCATGATTTGAGATTCAGTTTTAGACCTGACAGGTTTCACTATCGGCGGTGGAGACACACTATCATGGCAGGATGGGTCAAAATTTCTAATGGCACTTGAGTTGCTTTTCACATTATTAAAATTGTCCACTGTATTTTTGACAGTGGGAGAGTTGTGAGCAAAAGTTCGAGGTGGTTTTTTGGGGGGAGGTCCACAGGGAAGTGGAGCTTTAAGGGCTGCTTTCAGGGTGGCACTGAGTCCTGGCTGATATGCTTGCTTATCACTATTGGAGGGTCCATTAGTTGACGGCACTGACTTGGGGGGTGGGTTTGTTTTGCTAATATGGTTTACTGCAGTTTTTTCTTCACCATTAATGCTGTTTGATTTTGAAGTCTTAAATTGGACGTCTGAAATTAAAACTTGAAGAGGGCTGCTCTCCCGGTTGGCAAGTACTGGCCTGATTCGTTTGCTGTCATTTACATATTCCCCTATACGAATTTGCTTGTTATCTCCATGCTTGTGGGGCCATCCACCTGAAGTGTTAATGGAATGGCCATTTTTCCCAGTTGGACCACACTTCCTTGGGATGTCAAGATTAATTCTTTTAGCTTCACCAAGACCAGGTGAGTTGTTTGAAATTTTCTTAGGAGACCAGCTAAAATTGTCAGAGGGGGAAGTGAACGCTCTAGTGCGCTCACTTACAGCTTCAGGAGGCGTCTTGCAACGTTGCTGGAGCGGTGGTTCGTCTCCTATGATGGCAGGGCACAGCTTTGCTGATACAAAATCAGGGGTCGAGTCAAACTGCTTGACTCTTTTCCCAACGACAGACTTAGGCTTCTCTCCTACGGTGGGTGTGACAACATTTTTACCTCTGACAATTCTGTCACATCGGAACGCTGGGCTCCGCTTTATGTGGCCCCTTGATGTGGGACTGCTGAGCTGCCTCTCCAGGACAGGATGGCCGCTAATGCTCTTGTTGGAGGACACTGAGCCCAGCCTCTGCTTCTTGGGAGTGTCTGGTTGACATCCCGGGTCGGTGGTGCTGTCATCTTCTGGGCGTCCTGAGCGGCTCTTGACGGTGACGTTGTTGAGGTTATCCGTCACTGGCACAAACTTGTTAATGTCCTCAAACTTCTTCTTGATATTCTCGACACGATTCTTGTTGTTGTCACCGATGTGCGGGGGTGGCATCATACACAACACTGTCACTATAAAATAAGGCACAACGGTGCAGGGAGGGCACTGGACACAGCTCTGACGTCATAAGGGAAACACTTTTCCTCATCAGGACACCTGTCGTTCCACACTGGCCACGAGACGCTGACTATCTACGACGCCGTCTCCGTTAAATATAACTACTATCACTTGCTCATCGAGTCATCTTCTCTCTTGACCCAGCCCACTGCAGCCCTACATTGAACTCCAAACAGCGCAACGGTTTCTCGCTGCCATTTTGTGCAGTCGTTTTGTTTGGGCCGACGTGCAGTGCCGTCACCGTGACGCCGCCGTGACGCCGCCGTCACGCGACACCCGTCGTCACCGAGCGCCGCACTCTCCGCGTCCTTTGGACGCAGGCCACAACAAAATCGCGATTCGCCCTTGCCCGCGACGGCCGCGGTCGCCAGCAGCCCCTCCGCGGTGCGTCGCGGGCGCCGCGGGTTTGACGGCCGCAGGTTGGCGGCGCCGGCCGATGCAAGACCTGGCGCACCTGGGCGGCAGATTCAAAACAGCGGCGGCGCCGCCACCGCGCCCCATTTGCACCCTAGATAGGGGCCGCGGGGCGTGGCGTGGTGGGACGCAGGAGAGAGCTAACGCCCCGCCCCGTCCTACCCCGCCCCGCCCCGCTGGCAACCCGTGCCTATGCCTTACCTGTCCGAGCTGCTGCTGCTGCTGCTGCTGAGCGTCGCGGTCACGGTGCTTCGCGGGCCGCCGATCGCCGCGGTGCTGATGAGTGAGTCGCGCCAAAGACAGGCATTTGCCCATGGCGGGCGCGGGCGAGGGCGCGGGCGCCGCCGCTGATGGCTTTCACGCCGAGGAGGCGAAGGAGGCTGCCGGCCGCATCACGACGGCGTGCGCTCGCTGATCGCGGCCTCCGGCGGCGGCGGGCGGCGGCAGTGGCAGCGGGAAGCGATTAGTCACGGAGACGCACAGCGCGGAAGCACAGGGGGGCGGGGCGGGGGCGGGGCGGGGGCGGGGCGGGGTACCCGAGGAGGAGGAGGGGGAGGAGGAGGGCGATGACGGCGGCGGCAGGCGTCCCGGGGGCGCACGGGGACCGAGATCATCGCTGGCGTGCGCGGGGCGGTACTGGTGCGGCACGGCCGCGAGGCTCTCGGAGATGCGCACGCCGCCACGCCCCGCCACGCCTCGCCCCGCCACGCCCGCGAGCAGCACGGGGGGGCCACGCCCGGTTTGATTCACTACACGATGGCGTAATCCTCCGCTGCCGCCATGCCGCCACTCGACCGACCGACCGACCTCGGGCAGACCGGCGCTGACTGCTGCTCGCCGCCGCCCCGCCAACCCCTTCCGGCCTTCCCCCCAGTGAAGGGCATTCAGCTGCTTCGACATTTTTAGGTCAGCCCCCTCCCCCTTTCTAACGCCACCGCCGAGGAAGGGAAATGTCATACTGTTCCATGATTTTCCCTCCAGGCGGGGCTGCGGCCGACTCTTGCCGCCTACCTCCGTCGTCATAGGCCGCGCCGCCACGCAGGCGCGCGGGCGGGTTGCCTATCTCGATCCGGCCGTAAGGCGCCGTGGTCAGCGACGGTGGTCAGCAGACCAGCCCGCCCGCAGTCCTGCGTGCGGTACAGCCCGGCCGCGGAAGTGGGCGCGGCTCATCGCAGCCTGCTGGCATCGATCTGCGGCACTGCGAGAAACAAGAAAGCACTCCGGTAAAGCTGAAATGTAGAAGCATGCAGGGAACAAGAAAACGTAAGTCACTATGCTAACGCAAAGCGATTTCCGTTTTCTTGTTCCCCGCATTCTTCTGAATTTCAGCTTTACCGGAACTCTTTATTCAATAGGCCCTTTTGGGTAACAAACCTCCTTCGGGTTTTGGTCTTGTTTTTGTTGATGATGATCCTTTTTTTTGCGTTGAGAATCAAACAGCGACCGTGAGAGCGGCCCGCGCGCAAGCAAGTCTCTTGGAGGAGATGATCGCGCGGTAACGCCGTGTGCTGTACATGGGAGGCGCGACGTTCCCCCCC